CCGTCAGTGGCCCGGAGGAGCGTGGCTAGATTTTTTACTTCGAAGACGTCGAAGGTGCTAACAAAGTAGCTCACGAGAGCCAGGTCGTCCTTAAGGGAGTGAGTCGGTGGTGGTATCGCGGTAGGTCGATGAAAATGCGCTCTCGGCCACGTGGCGCTGCTTTTATACCCTCTGTGGCCGGGGGGTATTTCATAAGGGGTGGTTATCCTCTAAGACTTGTTTATTTATATACATTCTTAAGTTACTAAAAGGAACTGTTTCTCCTTTTAGTGTCTAAGTTAAGAACGTAGTATTTCCAAATAATAAGAATATACAAAACAAGATGAAATAAAAAATATATGTTTCTTATTATTTTTTATTAATAATTTAAATAAAACAGAGGTTACAAAAATATTAAAATACTATAATATAGATACAAAAAATATTTTAATTCAAATGAAGTTACAATACAATTGTATAAAAAAATTTTAACATACAATAAAACTTTCAAGTAATATTATTAAACTGAAACAAAATTAAAAAAATTACACTTATATCAAATAATAAATACCTAAGCACCTATACTAAAACCTAACTACAGACAAAACTAAAAATGAAACATTTCTAGTTAAGTAAATAAATATCTAAAAACCAAAAAAATATTTAAAAAAGCAGTACCTATCGAGTTCTTAGGTTTTCGCGATTGTTACACATAGGAAATGAAACTATTTTTCCGGATTTAAATCGCGTATATTTGTTTTTTCAAACAAACCCACGTTTCGGGCCCTTTACAGGTCCCATGGTCACGGTCGAGTCAACCGTGTAGTTTCATTTCCTAAAAGCAGTACCTACTTTAAATACAACATACAAAATATTTTAATAACTAATTGGATGAATTAATAACTACTTAAACCTATTGGTACAATAAACTTACAAAAATAGCAAGACATCATAATATATAATTAAATTTACAAATTCTCCTTATCGCACTCGTTGTCGGTCTCCAATTCTGAGTCAGAATCCAGATTGGAGATATCTAAAAACTCGAACTCAGTCTGCTGAAACTGAATTAGATCCAGAGTTTCAGCAAAAAAGCTCTGCTTTCTCTTGGCATCTAATTTAGGCCTTTGTGCACTTAGAACAGGATCCGAAGACACAAGAAGCATATTCAGGATGTCTTGATTTCAATCTTGCCTGCTTCTTTTCCGTGACTGATGTTCCCGGAACCTCCTGAAATGTTTATTTCGAGACTCTGAGGCTTCTTCTGAAAGAGTCCCAATAGGCACAATGTCGTTTTTCTCTATTATGTCAGCCCCGTGAATTAATAATTTATGCACAGTTGCCGACATGTAATACCAGTCGTATAATTCCACGTATTTTTCTGCTGTTTTGCGGGCAAAATCTTTGAATTTGACAACGTCAATCTTTTCTCCAGATGTGATTGCCTGCAAAATAACAGCAAATCTCTTGATAACTTCTTCATCCAACCCGGTAATAGTTGCAGTTTTTTTGGGAAACTCGAAAAACTTTCTGGCTGTATTCCCATCATTCGTAGTTCCTGAACCTTGTTTCACTATATCAATCAACAGATTGAGCTCATCTTTGAATTTATTTTGAATCAGTTTCTTTCTTGTCTGCAACATTTCTTTGTGCTCATTACTTCTCGCAGCCCACTGTTTGAAGTGAAGTCTGTACGCAATGTGTAACAGACATTCCATGCAATTTATTCGTGCATGTAGGGATGACAAGCCAAACTCATATATATCAGAACACACGGTCTTTGATGTTACAGCATCTAAGCGTTTCATTTCTGTTGGTTTCGATAACCACAGGTAGCACGATGCATTTGATCTGGCTTCAGAAAGATAAGTGCAGACTTTACCGACGATCATTGTCATCAATAGTTGATGAGTCACACTGTTACTATTACTGCATTCTGTGGGGATAAGGGCCTTAATTTCATCATCCATTTGTCTTTTGTGATCAATGACAACTGCTTTGCTCTCTTTTACAAAAGTAAACTGAACTGGACGACAATACAAAGCCGAGCAAGGTTTTGGGTTCGTCCATAAAGTATTATCTCCATCTGTCAGTTTTAATGGCACTAATGTGGTCATGAAAATGTTTGAATCATCTTGCTCCCCTTTCATTTTCTGTTTGTATCGGCTTTGGTTGAAAGCACCATCAAATCCCCACTTAGATATTAGCTTTTGCTGTTTATTTTGCACATCATCAGAAAGACTTTGAAGGATCCTAGTCACCATGATGTCAAGTAAAGCTTGAAGGGTAATCCTGGCCGATGAATCCGTAACTGATACTGATTGCTTCGGAGGATAGCAATCAAGCTTGGTTTGTTGCACTTTATAGTAGGATGGATAAATACCCTCAGCACCTTCCCGAATGGCAGCCTCTCGCAACGTAATATATTGCCACTTTGGCAGTTTTAGTGAAAGAAGCAATCCAAGCGCTTTCTCTGGTGTAAATATGACTGTTTTCAATGGTTTCTTAAGCGTTTTATTAATTGTAACGGCTGCTTCTGGATTTTTCATCATATACTCGATTACAGATGCGATATCATCATGCCCTTCTTTTTTCAAACGTGCTGCAGCTGCATATGCTAATTCACTGGAATTTTCGCCTGCATGATCATCAGATCTTCTCTTTTTTTGTTTGCTTCCCAGAAGCAAACAAAAAAAGAGAAGAATGGTTCTTCTTCAATGGTTAATCTTCGAATGGTTTTCGGGACCTTTTCGTCATTGTTCCAACACACGATGAAGTAGACGTTCTTGAGAGACTGAGTGTGTGTCTGGTAACTCATCAGCAGTTGGTTCTTGATGAAGTAAAGTTTGCACACAACTTGGCCAGTCAATGTTTGCTTAAATTATCAATGAATCGATTGGATTTCTTCCACCTCTGTAAAGCAGCTCGCGTGAATCTCCGACAAAACTCTTTCAGAGTTACTTGATCTTCATCAGAAAGGCAATCGCCTATGCGGGATACAATTGCACTAAACAATACTTCATGATTAAATGAAGTACTCTCACTGTTTAGAAGAACGAACAAGTCTAAATTGGTGATTAAACTTTCCATTTTCAAATTTTGAGCAAAGATTTAATGTTAGCAGTTACACAGTTGTGAACGATATAAATTATTAAGCAAAATGTTAGCCCTTTTATTGCAAAAAGTCGATAATTAGTTAATTAATTAGCTAACTACCCTCATTAGAGTTTAAAAATATGTGCGCTTAAAATATATATATTTTTTTAGAACTGAAAGCACAACTAATCAACAAATTAGCTTACTTATCAGAAAAAGCTTAATTAAGCCCATAGTTGGCATTGTTGTGCGGTATTGAGAATCATTTAATCACCTATTCTGACTCATTAGAAGACAATATCGTTGTAATTACTTACTAAATCACTTGTTTTTAGATTCATTATAAAACTACACAATATTTGTCTAGTGTGGGTGTACTGTAAACCTCTGTCTACTCTTTGGGAATATAGGGGTGATAGTATTTTATGTTACGTGTTGTAAAAAGTTTGTGTTACTCAACTCAAAGACTTTTGTTTCACATGTAAAATTAAATAAAAATATTTTGATGATTTTTAAAAAAAAACGGCATTTATGACCGTTATCTGGAGTATCCAAAAAATCATAAATAATTAGTACTATAACCACCTGTAAGGATATTACGGTTTTCCTTGACGTTTAAAAGATAATTCGATTTCATACAAGTTTCATACAAATTTTTCGAAAAAGAATTATAACTCCTTCGTTTTTGAACATAATCAACTCGGGTGTCATATTTGTACATAGTAATAACTAAAAGAAGCAATATTCGGCAAAAAAACTGACACATGCAAATTGAAATCCCTAAGTCTATGAAAGTCGATTTTCAGCCCACCGTGCGAGGCGGTAAACTTGAATACTTTTCTACGTAAATTTTTTCAAAGTATAACGCACGATCGTATAATTCTGTGCTATAAGGGTTAAGTAATTATTAGGATTCTGCAAACTATATATAGTAATATGTGCTGCAATCTATTATTAGGATCATAGATTCGCGTTAGCATTTTCGCTATGTTGCCGCTCTAACGTAATAGTGCAAGAAAGTGATAGGTAACACTTCACGCACACATTTGCGCGTGTGCAGATAGCGCCTTGCTATATGTAGTAGTAGTAGGTAAATAAATTTCGACCGTTGTGTGGAGTGTCCGGGGTGTGATATGGGTGTAAATTACCTTGTGAACTTTCCTGACATTAAATGTTGCCACATAGAGATCTCACAGTTACAGTAAACGTAAACGTGGACAAATATACCATACACCTATAATTAAATAGTAGTCGATTTAAAATGATTGGACATCGAAAAGAAAAACCATTATTTTCCTGCTCCATCGTTTTCGTTTAGTAACTTTTGTTTCGACAGGATTCAACGTCAAATGTGGAAAAATATGATTTTTTCGAAATATAATTTTTTTCAAGACCCAACATTATACGCTACTTTTTTTTATATTTTCTAGAAATCAGAAAGTACGATTCTTAATTTATTTTAACTAGAAAGATGCCAATAGTATTTTGTAATAAATTGTATTTTGAAGCTAAATAAATATTCATGAAAAAAATCTTAATATTGCATGCATACACAGACTAGAAAATATAATTTGTAAATAGTCGTATTATTTGGACCACTGCACTGGTGATTTCATTCCTGTAAAAAAAAGGTGAAAAACTTCCTTCAACAACATTTCAAAACAAGCCTTCTGTAGGTCTTGATATCAACAAATTATATTTATGCTCTAAGCGATAGGTATGATCATAGATTTAGTATATCTAAATCTATGGGTATGATATTATAATGTAATATTGGAACCTTAGAATAAAACTAACAATATTGTGCAAAAATATTATAATAATATAATTTTAAATACAGTTTAAGTTCATTTATCACTATTAAATCATTTTATATCACTAACAGTCGTACAACTTCAAAATTATAGCTAAAATTTAACAAGTAAAAGGCACTCATATCATTCTTGTTATTAAAATATCGGTTCCTAAATAGGCCGTCACAAAATATATATACATTTTATAAACATGCATTCGTGTTAATTCTTATATTAAAAGTTAAATAGACAGAATAATATAGTGGAATATCAGATATAAATAAAAACGGAATACATGGCTTATCCATATGCATTTCCAGCTCATTTACAAAGAACATGTTCAAATAATAAGGCACCAACAAGCATGAACATCTGCCTATATGTAAAATCAGGTTATTCATTACTTAATATCTGTAAACTCGATTGTGTAAATCAGTTACCTTTTGTGCTTTGTACTGAACAATTCATAATAACATATAGTATTAACCTAAAAAGTACATGTTAAACATACAAGCTGTAATTAAGGTGTGAAATTAAATAACGGAGTATAATGAACATATAAACTAAGAAAATTGTTTAAAAGGATTTTAACTATATACTTGTGGTATACAAAACTTCGCTGAGACATATCCCTAGCTAGTATAACGTGTTTCCCACAATACTGTCATAATATTCGGTAGTAATACCAGCAAAGGAAATTACCTATGGTACTACTAATAGTAAAGACAGCAGTAAAATTCCGTACAATACCATTTTTTTGGGTCCTAGTTTATTCAGTCCATTAAATATATAACCAGAAACAGAAACATGCGAATGTAATTGAGAAACTCTTTATACCGGTTAAATATTACTTCAATCATTACCTCATATCAAATCAGGGAAGGTAAACTTTTAGTTGATTTCTTAGTATGGATACATTATACAATAACCGCATATTAAAAAATACTTTAACTGCAGTAGCAAACTAAGGAGCTACGAAATTTGAATAATAATATTGAAACTGAAATAATCCAAGTTTGAGCTTTAAAAATTAGTAGCGTAGTATTGCTTGATTTAAAGCTACTTGTTGATATGGAAGACCAGTTCATTATATGCTCACTGGAACAACGAAATAAACGTTCTTATTAGTAACGTTTAAGACTACAACATAAGATGTGTACAATGTGATATTGAGCAGTGAGTTGCGTTTAGCTGTAATACAGAAATTCGTAAATTAAATGATATGCCACCAACACCATAGAAGTAAATAAGCATTGAAAAATATTTCATTGTAGTTTCACCGTTGCAATCATAAACCTTGTTGTGTTAATAAAATTCGCTTTCAAAATTATGGCTATTTAAATGTTTATTGACAAATTGGCTATATAGGTTCTTGATAGCATCATAATCATTGCCTCTGTGTAATTAAATAAATACACGAGTACTAACTGAAAACAGTCTTCAATAACAAGATAACAGGGCCGATTTTCATTTGAACAGTCGATTAAATTCCGTCAAAATATAAATGTTGTCATGTTGATTAGTACCCAAAATAATTCGTCAGTCTTTTTTTATCAGCTGCTTTAACAACTCAAGACTAGTTGCCATGTGTCAGTACTCAGTAGCAAGTGACTACGAAGCCTAGCAATATTTACAATTAAAATTATAGAATACGTCGTTACATAGAGCAAATTCAGTTCTAGAAACAACATAATATCCAACATTGAACACAGTACTTGAAATTCACGATTATACCTCAGTCTGTGGAATTGAAGAGAAAGACCGAAGATAACTACGAGCTTCATTTTTACTATACTTGGGTCCTAGACAACTTGCAGAAATAAGCCCCCATGGGGGATATAATATCAATAAAGTATTTAAATCTGCTAATCATTCGACAGCAAAGCCAGCTGTTTCCAGAATTGCCTGTTTTAGTTTATCGTGGAGTTTCTCTTTGTTAGGGTAAGGCGGTAAATCGAGGCGATTGAAGCATGTGTGCGCTTTGGGGAGGGATTCCGGAGAAGCGTCGGCGACAAGGTGTAAAGTGAACAGTCGAGGTGCAGCCGCGCCGGTAGAACCTTGAAGAGCACGGAATCCAGCTAGCGGCACTCGCCTGGAGCCCGTTACAAATTGTAGCAGTCTGGCGCGCATTTCCGCATCGAATTTCTCAACGACCTCCCAGAACCAGCCGACAATGGGTGCGTCCGGGTTGACGTGTTTGAGGCGTGTGTGTCGACGCCAATCGGCAGGGTCAAGGTCAGCGCGGCCAGCTAGCAACGGCTGCAGATCCCGAGGTGATAGCGGTCGGAGAAGCTGCGGAGGAATGATGTCTGCCAGGCCACGTTGCAAGGCCAGCCACTGCCGCTCGGCGCCGCGTGTGAATCGGTGAGCTACGTACAGCCGTACGTAGTCACGTTTGTTGGCGTCCGTGACTTGGTCGTTGGCGCCACCCGGCCTCAGTTCAACGCTTCGTACCGCGCCGAACGATGAACATTCCACCGAGAATGTTGTGTCTATAATTCCCGCGATATTGTTGTCCCTGTTAAGACCAAAAACGTTAAATTACATTAAAAAGGAAACTATATACCAAAGCAATCTGCACTGTTTTTTTGCATTGCACGCTGTAATGACTGAGTAGTGTATGATTTTATTATTCTATGCACAAAAAGAATGTCGTCTTTGCCGCGCCTTGTGTGATACATACGGACGTAGATTTAGTTTTGTTTCGTCAGAGCTGAAACTGAACTGGAAACAAAGAACCAAAAAATTTATGACAAATAATCTCAGTACAGATTACTAAAAAAACCGACCTCAACATTTCCTGGAATTACATCTATTTGCCATGTTTTATTGAAATCGGTTACCGGAAAGTGCGCGAAACCGGATTCATCCCCTAGTTTGCCACCCTTACAGGTGAATATTTTCTTCAAATTTAAATGCGATGACTACTGACGTACTCTCTTTCCAACAAAAAAGAATCGTCGGTATATCGGTTCACAAAAAAGTTATCGGCGGAGTTATCACGCAATATACATACCGAAAAAAACATACAGACGAATTGAGAACCTCCTCCTTTTTTTGAAGTCGGTTAAAAAGAATTACACTTACAACATCCAAGAGAGGCTTCGATGTAACTCCGGGTCAACGTCGCGAATGTCTCTCAGCGTGATGGGCCGGCCCAACAGTTGTTTGTAGAAGGGCGCCGTGAATGCCGCGTCCAGCTGGTGCCCGTGGAACAGGGCTACACCGAGGATGCGGCCCGCGAAGTGGAAGTATGATAAGTGCTCAGGGTTTACCTGAAATTTGAAAGCAAAATTGGAGGCAACTAAACAGGAACTAGTAGTGCCAAGAATGCTATGCTCCACATTGAAAAGTGGCGCAATCAGCGCAATTACACGCACAAGAAACTAGACCATTGACCAACAATTGCTTTGAGGTATTTAGAAATGAATGTTTTTTATGTCTAGCATAAATGTCGGTATTAATTAGGCAGCAGTAAACAATTAAATCACTAGGTGCGGTAATGAAAATTTGAAATATAGGAACTCTTACCCCAGAATCAGAATTTATCTGCAAAGCATATCGATCGTCTCCAGCATTAGCATACTGGAAAAGTCCATAATGAGGGTTGAATAATTCCCGTCCAAGCAAATGCAACCACTCGCGAGCGACACCGCCGTAGTCCAAACCTTCTTCCCCTCGGAACTTGACTAGCAAGCGCTTGCGCAGTTCTTTACCACGCAGCTTCATCACGAGCCGGTACGATTCTTCAAGAACTTCGTTACGTGATACCTACAGATGATATTCTCGTTCAGTTCAATTGTTTATTTAAATACTTTAAAATCATTTATGTATAGGAAATGAAACTATATTTTCCGGATTCAAATCGCGTATACTTGTTTTTTCAAACAAACAGACGTTTCGGGCCCTTTACAGGTCCCAGTCAACCGTGACCATGCGACGTCGTAAAGGGCCCGAAACGTCGGTTTGTTTGAAAAAACAAATATACGCGATTTAAATCCGGAATAGTTTCATTTCCTATGCGTAACAATCGCGAAAACCTAAGAGCTCGATATCATTTATCTATTTATTGTAACAAACCTGTTAAGTTTATTATAGCTAACTGTACTCTCTCATTGTTAGGATAAAATGTAACTTCTTAAATATTATGCGCCGAACACATTGACTTACAAACTGAACATGAACTAATTCTCAGCCTCTGATGCATGTTGTCTGCACCTAGTTTAAATATCCCCGTTTATGATGATGATTATGATTGACGCATGCGTGTTTTGATTATTTGTATCTATATTTATTTATTAAGTACTACCACATCCTATATGTTACAGCATTTAAACATTCAACATAGATACGGTATTACATCTAACATATAATGACAATTATGGTGTTCATAGCTTTACTATAAAAGGGTTAATAAAATAAGCTTAAATTACAAAACAACATACAAAATTATTTATATTAAGTTACCTACTGTTTGGCTTTGAGTTTCAACAATTTCTTTTTTTTTTTTCCAAAAATATTTCTCGTGTAATGTACACATCAAGGTCCTGGATTCTATTGTTAATAGTATTGTACTTGGTGAAAATTCTAGTGAAAAAGTATTGAAGGTCAAGGTTGGTTTTACAAGGGGGGGTAAGTTTTTGTTATTTTGTTTATTGGATATTTATATGGGACATTTAGAGAAATGCAATCGTGTAAATCACTACTTTGGACCAGTCCATTAATAAGCTGTGTAGAAAGTACAAGTCCAACAAAAGTCTTCGATCACGCAGACTAACCATATTGAATTTTTGTATACATTGATCATCAATCACAACAGGCAATCATTGCCTGTGAGATAACCCACTGGAGTAGAAGGTGAACGCTCGTAGTATGCTTTCAACACGTTGTGAGTGCACTGCTTAAAATGGACTCCATGTTACACTTGCGTATTCGAGATGGCTGCCTACAAGAGCATTGTATAAGAGGATGTTGGTTCATGTTAGTTTAAAACCTATGGAGTTTTGAGGAATCCAAGCATCTGCGCCGGCATTGTTATTACTTTGTTTATATGCGAAGTAAATCTATACATTTTTCGGTACCTCAATTCGACAATGACCGGTCTGCGGCTGCAACGCCTGCAGTTCCGCACGGAGCACGCGCGCCTTAGCGGCAAGGTCGCGTTTGTACTTGGGTAGTGCGTCCGCATCGGCTGGCTCGGCCGCTTGCCCGCCGCTTGAAGGTGCCTGCGCCAGTGGCGACGATGGCGTCGAGTCACTTGACGGCTGAAAGCAGAGCATACAAATATTTTATTGTCTAGCGACTTTACAGGAACAAACGACAATCCTTCAAATCTCTTTCTGCTAGAAACAGAATATTTCGATATTATATTTCTAGCTTATACTAAGCATAACATATTAAGACTATTTGCAAAATTTATAAAGGTGGCGTGCAACAAGAGTCTGTGATAAACCTATTACCACCAAACCACTTTGTTTTTATGTAGCTTATTCGTTATTTAGTTCAATGATAGAAATAAATAAGTACATTGAATAACAACTTACGAATCTAACAGAAAGCGCAAGCCGCGGATCAGTGAATTGCGTGGTCCTGTTATTATGGTCGACAAAGTAAGGTCGTCCGGAGGGCGCGTGCCGCATCTCCCAGCCGGGCGGCAGCGGGCCAGCGGCCGCGGCGCAATGCCGCAAGTGTTGTGGGACCCTAGGGTCGTGCCACGTCGAGGCCCCCGTCCCCGAGTTATAGAAGTACACTTGCCCTTGTGTTGTCGTTCGCATTTCTACAAAGTATAAAATGTGTGTATAATTTTGTGATTGCGAATACAATTTATATTCTTCAAAAGTAAAGTACAATATATCCCTATTGATTTGAAAACATGAGTGTAGTAATTATAGAAAAAATCCGAAGTTATCAAACAGCCCAGAGATATTTTTTTGTAAGATGTGGATTACAATAATGCAAATTAAATTATCCAATTTAATAGAAAAAATTAAAAAAATCAACAAGGTATTAAATGTTATTTAGGATGAAATGTAAATGTTGCAGTTTGATAAAAAATATTTCTTTATTAATTCTTCTCGTCTTTCTTCAATTCGAATCAATTGTATGTTAGTATCGTCGAAGGATGAGGGACACTTAATTAGAACTCGAGGCCATTGTTACCATTTATAACATGTCGCTCACTTGTCCAAGGTTACGTAGCACAAAATCTACTTCATGAATTTTCAATTAGGTTAACTACTACTTAAGCGGCGTATTGTACTCGTATGTATCTTTTGACTGAGTATGCACTTATTTTTATAATCCACAGGCGGTTAAGTGTACATACAAATGTTGGTTTTTACAATAAGTCTCAAATTTTTCAACTTCTTTAAGCATAACCATAACTGTAAAATAAAGTACGTTAATTTCACGTAAATTACGATTATTACTGTAAATAACAGAAACTCAACTGTAAATAACAGAAATTATAGCATACCATATCCGGGAGGAAGGTCCGTGGCAGATACAGGGGTGGTGGGAGTAGCTGGAGTTGTTGGACTGATGGGGGACGTCGGCGCGGGAGGGGCGCGTGCTCGCACTGCCGTCTGTGGCTGCGGCTCCGGCCTGCCCCGATAAGACAGCATTATTTCCAAACTTAAGTTAATGCTAGTAGCATCAGATGGAGAATTTGCCAGGTACCTTCAGCAAATGTGTAAAAATACGATTGAATATTATTGTACTTTACCCATTTCATGTTTTCTTTAATAGTCTTCACATATTTCACAAAAGACTATATTACATTAATAAATATAGTTTTAAATTTTACTTAAAACTAAATACAATTAAGTCTTTAAATAATCATATCACGTACCTTAGCGATATTGATGGCGCATGATTAACCTCGGCGTCGGATGTTGGTGAAGCGGGCGAGGCAGGGGAGCCCGGCGAGGTAGGACTGACCAGCGCAGGGCCAGCGGGGGAGGCGGGAGCAGGAGGTGACGGGGTAGACGGTGGCGACGCAGCTGATGGCGACGATGGACTCGGCGTCTCAGGTGGTGGACGATCCCACTGGGTGCGGCGCAGCGCATGGTTCACGTAGTATGGTCTGAAAAAGGAGTTTTACTTTGTTATTAAAATAGGATGCTACGTTTTTGGCAACAACATCATAAGACGAGAAGAGCTCTCAAATTGAAAACGAAGAAATAGAAACAGAAAAGAGCAGCCTTAATTATTGCTGAGTAATAATTTTGCCCACACAACCTTGAGTGAGATAATATTATATTATTGAGCTGTTGTTCAAATGTTTTCACAGCACATATATATACGTTATATTTCCACAAACTCACCTTATTTGTTTAAAAATGCGAGACAAACTAAAACTCGACATTTTTTATAATACATAAGCTATGTATATAAATCGAATGTGCCACTAATTAACAAAATCATTTATGAATAGGAAAATACGTCCAATATACGTCATTATCGTAATTATGAATAATGTAGGTTGGTCCCATGGAAAATACAAAATCTAAGTAAATGTTTACACTTGCATTATAGTGCATAAACCTGGCACATTCTTATTATAGTCAATAAGTTGAAATACAACCCCATAAGTGTGTTACTATCAAATTAAACAGAACACAAACATGGTAATTGTGGGTTACATTCTACTAATATAATCTAGATTACCTTAAATACACTTTTTAATATACTTCAAATCTTGTGCAGTTTGTTAAATTATCACTTTAAAAGTGAATGAAAATTTGATAAATCCACGTGTAAATCTAAGATGTAATGAAGGACTTGTATTGGATGCTTGCTTGGTAAACTAATGCGCAACAGATGATGATAATGATGACTGTTAATTATGTCACCTAAATATGTAGGTGTCTAGCTAAAGCACAGCATATTTTCTATGGAGAATCACAATTTCCATATTACACAGTGTTTTATTTTAATACACCAAAACAAATTTATAACAGTTATTACCTTCCACCAGAGGTAATTCTTTCTTCCCAATGTGGGGGAAGTGGGAGTTGCGGCACATTGGTGTTTGTAGGAGGGTCTCTAGGAGTGCGAACGTCTCCCGCAGGACCAACGACAGCTAAGGGCGACCCTTCTCCCGCGGCGGAGGCCGGCTCCCCACGCGCGCTGTCCCGCGAGAGTAGCGACACAATTACCTGACCTCGAACACCACAAGTCTCCACTGAACCATCTTCACACAGCTCTAAACACTGATCTGCAATACAAAACGAAACAAAAAATGTTCAAATTATGCTGGATAAGATAGGTTTCATTGAGTACTAATAAGTCTTTGTAGTTTATGCAATTTTCAGCCATCTCAAAATAATATCCTATTGTGCTTCATAAGGCCAAAATAATGAATCTGTAATATTTTGAACAATGCTTCAAAAAATCAACATGTAAATTTAATTTTCAACTATACAGTATTTATCGAAACAAAAAAATTCAAAGTTATTAGAACAATAATTGTTGCAAAAGCTATGACTACAAGAGATCAAGAGAACAGAGGTCAAGGAGATGCTCCAGTTTGTTATCTTAAGAAAATAAGAAATGCATAATTCTACACAAGCATTGAAGAAAAACCTCCCACAAATAAAAAAAAACAAGTTTACTTACAACCAGTGTCTTTCAGTTTGTGCACTGTGGATGGCTGAATTCGAACACAACCCAGGAAGCCAGAACCTTGTCTTTTGTGAACTTTCCGTTGATTCCACACGCTAAAAGATGAACATTTCTATTTATTATAGATAATATTACTTATAGAAATATTACACACTGACATTGACTTGTATACTGTTATGTGTAAAAATACACTTACACTACCATGGAGAGCAATAAAATTATTCAGTACTGCATACTGTTGTATACTTATAAAAATAAAACTGCAATGTTAAAACTTTTTATTGTGTATTTATTCAATACATGGAGTGAATATTATGTGAATATTTAATTCAATAAGTTATTATGTTCTTTTTGAGTGATAATTAGTAGCACAAAAATTTTTGAATGGGTAATTTACCTGATAGTAATTCCATCTCCTTTTGTAAGATACAAATCATAGTGTGTATTCCACTTTGGGTCAAGTGTAGCCTTAACAGCATTTGTAGAATACACCAGTCCACTACCATCCACAGTTATTTTGACAAAAGGATCTGGCAGTCCTACAACAGAAACACATAATTATTCATAAAAAATTGGATGCTCCGTAACTATGTCAAGGAATTTCAGTAATGATCAAATGAATACTTATCACATTAAGACACAACGTACGCTGGTAGGCAACGGTGTAATTTTATTTATAAGAAAGTGAGAGCAATTTAGCTCGCGCACGCGATTACTTCAAGACGTAAGAACATACGCCACAGACACCAAATTACAATAAAAACAACTATACTAATCGTAAACAATATTTTATCAAACAATAACTTACTGAAAAGATCTCTCCGGACCAAATTCCTCGCGCATAGAACTGAAAAGATAACATTATGTACATGTAACATTATTGCAGGAAATGTGATCATCAAAAGCAAAATAATTCAATGCAATTACGAAGGAAGACACCAAAGTGTGGATTTGAAACCAGTACACTTACTAGTAAGTCTTATTTTTTGTGCCCCATATTTACGATTCGACACCGGAGTGGACATTTTCGATTGTTTTCACCTAGACATCACAGGTAAAGTATAATAGATTCGAAACCATTTCTACTTCATAGTTTCATACATTTTATGCCACCATTTTTCCAATAAATGAAATGAATAGAAGGAACGAATAATTGAATGAATTGCGAATGATGTTTTACTGACAGCTTGTCATTCATACCCTTCGTTCATACGTTATTGGTTAATCCTTAGACTATGGAAACTAAAGGACATGTTACGTTGACATAATATATAAATCAGACGTTATATGTATATGATGCATTTCGACGTCGAAAACATAAACATATTATTGTCTTTGTTTAACTATTACGTGCCGTCTTAAGCCAAAAGAGATAGCATTACATTGGTCTGTGTCAAACACGGGAATCGAAAATTCGTAACGTCATTTTAAATGCCAACCGTGGCCATTTCAAGTACATGAGGTACATGATACCGTTGTCAAAGGGAAGTACATCAAATGTCAAAACAAATGTTTTTCCAAATGTATTATTGAATTATTCACATGTATTATAATTAAATTGGACAAAAATATTGACAGTGAGAATAATTAGGTATTAATAAAAATGCGACGCTGCAGCATTAAAGGATGCGGCTTTAGAAAAACTGCAAATCAATCGAATGTTACATTGCACTGGCATGTGTTATTTTTTTGTCTATAAATCACACAATAGCCCGAATATTTTATGTAATTAGACTTATTTAAGTAGTTTATTTATAAATCTTGCCAAATTTTGCTTTTGTTACTTTAGATTGCCCGTTTGTTTGTATATTTTGATGATTGTTGTTAACGATTATTTTGAGATAGTGTTGATCTTGTAAGCATACATATTATCGATATTCTGTTATTAAAACAATTCACTATGAGGTTTTTATTGTTTTATTATTATTATTTCAAGTTTTCCTACAAATGAAAAAAGGAAGAAAGAATGGTTGGAAATCATAGGACTGCCGAATATAAACGTTGGATCAAAGACCATCTTCATTTGTTCGCTTCATTTTGAAGAGTCAAATTTTAACAGAACTTTAAATGTAACTAGATTACATGACAATGCTATTCCATCATTAGGGTTATTGGTAAATAATTTTATGTTCAATTTAAATTAAACAAGACTCATTTACTAGCTATACTCAGTTCCTGAAAACAAAATTATCCACTCGTTTCTGATTTTTCCCAATGACAACTCTAACTATTAAAAATGACTATGCATATATATATGGACTTGAGATTCAAATATTTTGGAAAAAAAAATTGAAAATTTGTCACTTCGAAATTATTTAAATAAAATTATTTTATTCCGTCATGAATAATTTTAGTAATTTTTACCCGACTGCATGAGAAGGTGTGCTATGTTTTTTGAGTGTATGTTTGTTAATTTCTTTTTCACGCTGTACAGCCTAAATGGCATGATGGATTTTTTGAGATATGAGGTGTCGTTTGATTCGTCTTGATTGGTGGGGCTGTCATAGGTTTATCTCTTTTCAGTTATTTTTTGCAGTCGGGTTTTTATTTTTTAAAATAATTTGGTTTTTGTAAATCTATATACATATTTAAAGGAGTACGGTCCAGAGCAATTCACTGGTAGATGGACGCATAGCAAAAACTGTAAGTACTGGAACATGATAACTTGGTATGTTAATTTTATTTAGTGAAGGAGTACTAAGAACGGATTTTTCAAATTCATCCCCTAAGAGGGCGAAAACGGTTAAAAACGTTTGCATGAAAAATAATATTCCTTGAAATTACAAAGACGAAACTTTGCATAAATATGTTACAATAAAAATGGTAAAAAAATGGCATGACAGTTTTTAAAAAATGCGGCGAAATGGGGTAATAAAGTTTGTATGGTAACTTTTTAACACGTGGTGCGATTTGGTTCATACTTGAATATTTTTCATTTGTATAAAAATTGTACGCGGACGAAGTCGTGGGGAAAAGCTAGTACATGATAATTGTTGATTTCCGATAATTGATTTTTACAACTACTTCCATTATTTCTGTGTTAAAATTGCTTGATAGATTCATTTGCTTAAGAAAGCCCGGGAATTAACGGGAATACTAGAATCCGCAGAAACCTGAATAGACTTGTACTTGACGGTTAGTTAAAAGACGTTATGTAAATATGTACTAAAATGTAGGTTAAAGGCGTACCTCTTAAAGTAATTTTTATATTTTATTTAGTAATTTAGTAGTAAGTACAATTAATACTACGTAATGTTAAATACAAGTAAAGTAGGTATAATTAAGCAAGAATGCGCATGTCGCCAACAATCTGCACAGCAGTTTGGTGACTTTTACTAAATAAGTTACCAGTTGTAATGTTGAAAATAAATTTTTTTTGAAGTTTAAAAATGTGTGTTGACATTTATAATAATATACCACTCGAGATTAAATTATCAGACTTGTGTTTGTTTAGGCATACTTTGGTTACAGTAAACTAAAGAAACAAAAATTCAAGCCATACATTTGCATGTCGATAATGACTTATCGATAGATTATGGTACAACACTAAAGAAATCCGCCATTTGTAACTTTCAAATTTTGGTAATATGCACGTTGATTCTGTACTTAGGGTTATTAAGGGTTATTAAGGTTTTTTCCATCCTCTAAGGGTTAATCCCTTAGAGGATGGAAAAAAATAAAAGAATAATCCCTAAGATAACCAATCAGAACATAGAAATAGAGGTGTAAAGATCAAGATTGTATTTCGAATATTATTGATACCGGTTTTTAATCATTAAACTGATAGACTCGGAATCTTAGAGCATATAGGACGGGAGGCGCTATTAACGTTGTGCATTTCTCGCCTTGTCCGGGTTTGGTGAGAGAGCTATTGCTGAATTTTTGGTACAAAACACGATTTGACAACTGGCAACACTGAATTTCTCCTTCTGCCCTCCGATTGGTCGTTGGATCTTTACCACCACGCTGCCGCTGTTCACCCCTCCACCAGTGTGGGGGTGCGGTGGCCGTTGTTCAAACTCGACACGCGGTTTTCCTCATTGCGTTGTTGAATTTCGTTGCGAATACACAATTAAGGGGAAATCTTGTCGGATTGCGTACCGAAATGGATTCCGATACAACTGGCGGCACTGGCGAGTGCCGACGACGACGACGAGGCAGATACCGACAAAGACGAAGGCGCAAAACTCGATCTCGCTCGTACACCAGATCGAGATCTCCAACTTACGACAACTCTTTAGATCGCGCTAACTGGCGCCACAGTGAGTACTACAATTCGGATATTTCGGTTTTTGGTCAGTTATGCAAACAGGTTAGTGACCTAACGGTTTTTATGAATAATTTTATGCAACAAAATATGTAAAATGTGGGATGTCGGAACAACAGACACGTGTGGTATCCGAGCCTAGTAACCTCGCAAGTACCCGACACTGCACCTCAATTAAGCACTGTGCCACAATCTTGTACACCAGTTGAGGGAAATGATGACGATTTTTCCTTCCAATCTCTACAAACTACACTGAAGGACACTGGTATAGGCAAAACTGACCATGAACG